TGGTCGAGGCACGTTATTCACGGGTTATGAAAGAAAGGAACAGTTGCCTGGTATATTTTATTTAATGTAAAATTTGTAATATCCACCAATATACTAATCTAAAGACTATAATATGTACAATGTATATTTATAACAACAGGTGTAAATCACATACAGGATATTTATATTACCTGTTATTATGATCTATTCTCCAAATATAATTAATATAAAACTTGAAATCTCTTTAGGTGATAACGTCGTACAGGTATATAACACGTTAATACACCTGTGTGTAGGTTTTAGTCAGGTAGAATATATGATACAATTAAATCAAAGTCAACAAAATGCATATAGGCCACCAGTATTAAACTAAATATAATAGATGAAAACCACAATCATAATTATTTTAGAAATTGTTAAATAAGTGGTATAATCTGTTCTAAAACAACCTGTTAGCTGTATTATACCAAATGAAGCCACAGCGGCTCAGTGAGTAAGACGTTGGCTTGTTAACATGGATTTTCTGTGTTCGATCCCTGTGTTTACCGAGAAAGTTCCTCGGAATCTTGCGACCAGCTTCCCCTTGCCAGTGGTGCAGGACGAAGGGCCTGGCAAGTGGCGGCGTATAGACGTTGGAATGGGACGTCTGGTGTATCCATTAGCATGCATATAAAATAACCTTTGACAGTTGAATTCAATGTAAGAGTTCCTCATAGCACACTGTATGGTGTATGCCGGTCTTCATTCCTTCAACCCGATGTCTTTTCATTTCATGTATCAAACATTGCCTACATATAATATAAGAAATTACTACAATTTTAAGAATTAAAAACTATTAGAATTTTAATACTGTGGTTTATAAATATCCCATTTTACATAACACAATTATTATCTGCTAATCATTTTCTGTCGATAAATTACATCTTTATATAAATTATCTGAATTACAAAAATGTTATTATCTTGTTTTTGTGTCACATAATCATCTTAATTTTACCATTACATCCCAATTCGGCGATGGTTTAGTGGTTTAACGTGTGTGCGTTAAATCATAAGGTTTGTCAATAAGTCATGTGGCGTGGTTTTGATTCTCCACTTGTGCGTAACGAGGAGTTGAGTCGCCTGTCCAATGTCGTGGGTTTTCTCTGAGTCATCCTCCCACTACTAAGGACCTCTACGAGCGGTAGAATTATTGAAATCAATTGAGTCATGTATAAGTCCCTTAAAAACCTAGTTGGTTTCGAGTTGGCGTTTAATCCCATTTTTCTATCTCTCACAACACAAATGATACCTTTATAGTTAATAGGTATTTAATATTACACGTAACTGGTACCTTTACACAGTTCATAGTTATTTACCGACCCATTGCACACACAGCCATAAAAAAAATACCTTACACGTGCACTGTATCAGTTTATAGCTATTTACTGATCCATTGCACCCACAACCATAGACGCATACCTTACGCTGATTTAGTTTCAAAATAAAGTTTAAAATCTGTTTTGTTTCACATACAGGTAACTTACATGTTTCTGATTGAACTAACATACGTTAAATAGAGATATTTATCCTTGTATTGGACTAACAATAGAGATATAGCATTGTATTATTATGACACCCATCTATGGTACTTTATTTATGGTTTATTTTTCGAATTGCTTTTTGTATTTATTTACAGAGGTTAAAAGTTTAAATGGAAATATTTAGCACCTTCTTGTAAACCGTTGAATGATTTAAAGTTTGGATTAAGGTTAAGTGAATGTAGGTCAAACATGCCGCCGACATAGTGTGTATTAGGGTGTTAAAGATTAAAAGTTATTCCCTACAAGGTGGTTCTACGGTTCTCACCATACAATTCAGCTGTGAAATAACACAATTTCTTTCATTATGTGTACAACAATAAAACAGTTATCATAGTAACAATTACTTCAAACACTATTATTACTTTTAATTATATATAACCAGTACTTAAATTATTAATATATTCCTCTGTATACTGAGAAGATATCTACCAAGTTCAAAGGCTACTATACGTTACTTGTTGATGTTCTAACACCCAACATTTTCTTACAAAATGACCTATGGACCTTTTCTATATTATCGGCTTCCTCCACGACACCATACGCCCCGCGTCCAAGAAGACGAATTCTTTTAAAATATTGAGCATCATTGCACTCGTATGTATGCCCCCCTATCGTCAGGGTGGACATGTTGGGGTTTGGTAGTTGAGGAATTTCCAGTACATCATGAGGGACAGCTAGTTTAGATAAACGGGGACTACCCGATCCACTTGACCGTGACATATTTACGGATTCTCCTTTACTTAGTGTATTTGACAACGATTGACCACATCGAATTAATCTAGACACCAAATGTCGCAATACTAGAAGTGTTACTTGGTGTGTTTACCCATGAATCACGGTAAATAATGAAGCAGCGAACATCCAGACTGCTCAATAATGATTATGACTAATAATAATCCATATAAGCTTATATACTGGTATGATCGTGACACGCTTATTGATAGAAATTAATAGAAAACGCTTTCTTAGAAGCGCACGTCATAGTCATTCCATTCATAGTTTTCCTAGGGGAAACCCCGTTACACTGTTCATAATAGTTTATACATGGCTCAACCAATCACGCTGTAGGATTATTTTTAGCATTTTAATAATAGTGAGGTGTGGCTAGCTCCATTCAAAATAAACTAAATAGAAAGTATTGTAGTAAACAAAATGAAATGAAATGGGGTTTAACGTCCTACTGTTCTACTCCGAACTGGGCTAATGAAGACGGGCATACGCCATACAGTGTGCTATGAGGGAAATATTGCCCGGACAACGGCACTACAGCCTCCTCTTATATCGAATTCCAACTGTTAAGGGATCTTTTACGTGTACGCCAATGTGTAGTCGGGACCTCGGTTTTCTGTCCCAACCGAACGACTAGACCGCTGTCCTTGTCAGGCCCTCCGTCCTGCATCACTGACAAGGGGTAACCACGCCGGAAAATCGGACAATGCAGGAATCGAACACCCGACCTTCAGGCTACCCACCACATGAAAATAAACTCTCAGTTAAGCGAATATTTATCGACGTTGCTGGATAATATCATACAATAATTATTTATTTCAATGAGCAATTCTTAACGGGTCGTCTTGAAACTCTGCCTTACCTAGTCCTTATACCCAAGGATGACCCCTACTGGTTTTGATGCATGCCCGACCCTCAGGGACGGAACCACGGAAATTATTTTTATATGTATCGCCTACAAGCCACAATTCAGTATGAATCATGATCAATTATTTTAATAACAGATTGTACCTATTGATATTGGCCCATATCCACTCCAACGGGCAGTGCCACGCCCACTCTTTTATTTTAATATTTTGTGGCCGCAATTTTTCATAGATCATCTTGAAACTCGGCATGCTTATGGCCTCTATCAAAGGAACGAGCTGATTTGACGAAAAACCGAGTTCCAGTCGTACACTCTATGGCGTGGACATAAACAAATTCTGACGTCATGTGCAATTCAAAGTGATTGACCCCGTGAGGAATATCTCCCCGGCGTTCAACTTCACATAAACAGCCTTTAGTAGGTGGAAACACAACTGTTTAAACAAACTTTTTTTCATAAAATGGCGTATGACTGACTATTCATTACCCCAGTAGGACGTTAAACCATATTTCATTTATAATATCGCCCAATCCTTTATGCATATTAATACAATTACATTATTCAAATGATAAAAAATAATATTGACCAACACCGGATTAGGAAAGGGGGCGGGGGAGAGATTCCCCAAGTGCCCCGATCAACTGGGGGTGTTGATTCACTCTAGACCATGAAAACAATCAATATATTTAAAATAAACCGAAACAAAAATTGGGCGAAAAGTTTGTAAATGCTTCATTAGTAAATTTGATATTCTGGCAATAACCTGGTTACCAGTAGAAATTATTATAGACAGTACATGGAAACTGAAATAATTCAAGAGCCTTAATATCAAGAAATCTAATTTCCAAAACGTATTAAAACGGGATTTACATAAAGCACGCACACTGCGTTCAAGAGCCTTAGTATCAAGATATCTAATTTCCAAAACGTATTAAAACGGGATTTACATAAAGCACGCACACTGCGTTCAGAAAATACATTATTAAATTGTCTTTTAATTACGATACATTGGCTTTCAGCGGATGTATCTACTTAAACCTCACAGAAACAGTCCCGAAGATAACCTATCGTATTATCAGTACAGGCTTTGTCGCGCATGCGTGAATCACTGTCCGACCTACACACGCACCCATACACTCGGTAACGAGCACTAGTGGCTACTAAGAGAAAAGGAAATTAGGTAAATTTCTAGATAGCTCCTAGAATTCAATCAAGCCACCAATAATAAAACGGTCGTGAAAAACGCAATCGGACACTACCGTCATAACCAAAACGCACCGGACGAAAAACAGAAGGCGATACCAACGGCTACGTCGAGAATGGTTCTGTAAAATCGCTAAGAAGCAAACTAGTGGGCAGTGGGATATATTGACGACTCCGAAGCATTATTTGTCACATTATTTGTTTCGTTTTCTTTATATAATATAACACTGTTCTGTTAATAAATTATTTACAAGAACTTATCCCCGTGCGTCCCTTGTCGATTAGTTCTAATGTAGACTGAAATACTAAATCAGTGTTGCTTTCGGTTCGGCCATAATCAATTCAAACATGTCTTGTGTCGCTTAAACATACAAGAACATACACATCTATTTCAACACATCGATGCATGCCAAAGAACAGGCATGCCAATTGTCATGAAACACCCTTCATAAAAGGCCTCTGGTTATGAAAAAAAATCATAAGCCACGTTATAATCCAAATGTATAAATAATGAATTATTTATCGTTGATGTTATACATACGTATAAAATTTCACACACAGTCGTCTTTACATTATATATTACAGTTGACATACTTATTCAACAAAGACGTTACTCAAATATCTGTTTTATTTTTACCCATGTGACGGCGTTAAGGAGAATAATAGGTCTGTCTATTCATTTTATTCGCGCTAACCAGTGAGGTGTACACAAACATTATATGTTGTTCAAACACCTTGTAAAATATATCAGATTATAACTGGATGTTTGGTAACATGGTTAATCAAATTATGTTTTCTGTGTCGATGTATAACGGTAGTTATTAACATTAACATGGTTAATCAACGGATGTTTTCTAAAATGGATTTATAACGGCAATTATTTATCATTCTGATTTCCTGGGATTTTAATATGGCTTCTAAATATACCTGTTCTATTTGTTTAAACAACTTTACTAAACCCAAGCTACTGCCATGTTCTCATACGTTTTGTCAACAATGTATAGATGACTACATCAAGGCTCATGCTCATTTGAACAGGTTTAACTGTCCTCTCTGTAGACAAGAAACAGAGGTGCCATCAGGTGGCGCCAGTCAGTTTGTCAACAATTTTTATCTAGAAGACGATGATGATGATAAACAGTATTGTACAAAACACAAGAAGAAAGAAATAGAAGTTTATTGTCGAGATTGTCGTAAACCATGTTGTTCTGTGTGTGTTATGGTGGATCATGAAAATCATACGAAAGTTGAATTAGATAAAGTAGACCAGGAAATGAGAAAAATTGTCATGAAACTAAAAACTGAATCAGAAAAGAAGATAAAACAGTTACAGAAACATTCTGACTTTCTGAAGACCAAAATAGCTGACACGAACAACTCATGTAAGACAGCTTGTGATCAAGTTCAGAAACAAATAGACGATATTTGTGAAAAAGCCAGGAAGATGGAAGGAACAATTAAAAATGACATCAATAAAATTCGTGAAGATGAAAACAGTAAACTAACCAAACTAGTAGAAGATGATGACAAGATGACATCTAAAATGAAAGAATGGTGTGAATATGCTGATCGTATATTACAACATAAATCTATAATTACAGCCGTAGATAAACATGGATTAACAGATGTTCAAACCAAAACTGATTACAACATATCGACAAATTTACAGAAACCTGTAGTCAGACATCCATGTTATTCTATGGTTGAGGTTGATGTAGACTGTTTAAAACGACTACTGGGTGAAGTAGAAACACCAACAACATTTACCAGTAGTTTTAGTTTGAACCAGCTAGTGAAGCTACGTAAGGGCTACTCTAGTGATGATGTAATAATACAAGGATTATCATGGTGTGTAGGTGTTTACCGTGATACATCAACATTATATATTGGCCTTAAATTGAAGAAAGTAGAAGATAAAACTATTAAAGCTGTTAAAGCTATTTATACATTAAAACTGTTAAATATCAATGATGAGAGTAAATCACTAGTTGACCAAGGTATAGATACATTTATACCTAGTAATTATATATATGCTGATATATTATCTATAGACTGGGATAAACTACAAGATATAAACAATGGTTTTATTGATGATGACAAGATATTTACTGTACAAACTACTGTTAATATAACTGATGTAGAACGATAGTGAAGACATATAATAAACAATAACAGTTATAGTTATATAATAAACATTAGCCTACATTCATAAACAATAATAGGATCAACTACAGAATGTCAACAAACATAATTTTTGTAAGGTATATATTATCGACATGTTCCCTCTAAATTTTAGTAATTAGTGAGCGCACACATCACGTGGTATGCATATTTCATTTTGTGGCAACAATACGTGGACAATATATTTACAACTCTTTTTGTTTTTGTTGTGATACGGCGATATCTGAGATCTTGAATTATTTGTTCTGTGTGGCCTAATTTTTTGCGCTTGGTTCAACACTTGTGTGTCAATGGCCAGGGGGAACAATGTACATAACTATAAGTGTCGTGTACAAGGTAGGATATACCTAGTCTGTCTAGAACATTTAAAACCACTTCTCGTGGTGTAGACGTAGTAAAATTAATAAGCAATATACAAGTTCTACATCTGACTATTGGAGATGTTTATCTAGTTTTAAATGTTATTAAGCCTTTATTCACATGCTAACTCTCTAGTTCATCAGAAGGCCGTGATATTGAATGAATTAGAACAATCGCGCCATTTGATAATTCATCCTTTTAGTTTAAATGGATAATCTAGACTTTGTTTGTTATGGTAGCAACTTGACAATCGAGACTATCTATTAAAAACTTCAAACACTCGTAACTCATTTTTTAAAAATGCATTTTGAACCATTGTAGCAAGAATAGTCAGCTCTTTCTATCAATCTTAAATAAAGCACCCTCACCCGGATTACATTGGTATGTAATTTATCTAGATCTAATTGTTCATATTAATTGTTTGTATCATATATTAATAAAATATTTTAATTTTGTTATATATTGTTCTACCCCACCCAACCCTTCATCACTCAAATGTAAGGGTCAATTGGCCTCGCTCAGTATGGCAACTTGTAATACTATAGGGGTTATTTTAGTTCTATGAAAGGTGCTCTGTTGAATATATTGAAGTGGTTAAACAAATGGGTGACAACCACAAATAGGCTAAGTAGGTATTTTACAAGATTCAAGTTTCTTAAACTAAGTCACAGACATTTTCTGCCACCATCAATTGCTGAAAGTAGGGTACTATCGTCCAGTCATTTCGTGCACCGATTGGTCCAATTAAATAGAATATTGTGAGGCTGTGAGAGGATATCCTGATAATTCAAAATTAATTGAATGTCACTAGATAAGGGAAAACGAGAAAAATAGAAATAGTCCGTACATTTCCTTGTTTTTATTCATTCTATGCTCAATAAAAATACGGTAATGCATGGACTTTTTCTATTTTTCCCGTATCTAGTGACAGTCAATTATTTTTTTATAACAACTTTTGGTTTTCGAAGGAATTATTAGTGAGCAGAAATTGGCCCTTGTATCTGTTATCACTTGTCACTTCAGTTAGTTATATAGAAGGATAACTCGTGTTTTCCTTTTGCGTTCGTCACTTCCCTTTCTTGAAAGCTTCATAACGTATCTATCGTAGCAATCATCTCTGAGTTAAAATTATATATAGAACGTAACCAGTTCTATCACATAATATGTCATAATGACTGACACCAATATTGTCTTTTGGGGGATTCCAGGAACTGTCCAAGTATATCTAATACCCCACCCCACCCACTTAAACCTTATTCTAAAAAACACCCCAGGCAAGCTAACAGTACAATATGTACCCGAACTGACCTATTCAGTGATTAGTGTACATTAAACCCTATTTTCTACCCCACCCATAAAAAGAAAACCCTCAAACAAATAAACAAATGCCAGTAGCCTACAGATCATGTTTCTGGTCTGTTAGTGTATTTATTCCACCAGAATTTAGCCCTTTTTACTGACCCTATATATTGACCCTATGTATTGACGCGAAACTCACGAATAGTTTCTTTTCTTAGCTAACTCATTTCGCGCCTGACTGTGCTTGTTTACGCACTAACTGTATAGAGCTGAATTCACGGTACAGTTCTAACTCTTTTAATTTACGATATTCAAACCAGAGGATACATGTATTAAAGGACGCGACACTGCGTCAAGTAACAATTATGTCGGGATTTCCGCTCCATAAATATGACCTACAATAAATAATATAAACAGCGATAAGACTGGGGTATGTTAAAACACTGTTATAGCGGAGATATTTGGTTGGATTGCTTCCATTAATGATGCAAGACTCTAATATGTTCAATCAGTATGATAACAAAAACTGACAAATATGTAATTTGTGATATATATTACTCTAACGTAGTAGTTGTATAAATTGATGTTACGTCGATGTACTGTGTTCAGTAGTTTATGTGGTGTGGTACTAACTCAACTGAAATTACAACATTGAACTTTGGCCCAGGCACCGTTCATTTGTGTTTTTATATAATCATAGTTAGTATTCAATAACATGGCCGGAATTCTAACAAAACTTCATGTCGTATTTCTAGCCATTACCATCGACGATATCAAGGAGTTTTGTAAGGATAATGTTAATGTCAGAACTTGTTTAATATTTGGCGTTGGTGTTGGACTATGGTGGCTGGTGCGAAAACCCCGAGGGATTCCCCCAGGTCCAAGATTTACGTTACCAATACTAGAAGATCTGTTGTCCCTGGAAGGAGGAGACGGTGATATGAGATTAGCTATAAGACAACTGAGGAAGAAACATGGAGATATATTTAGCGTTTATTTTGGACCGAGATTATTTATATTTATCAATGGTTATGATTTGATTAAAGAAGCTTTGGTGAAAAGGGCCGACATGTTTAGTAACAGACCATCAATGTTTATAAACGATGTAATCAACCAGAAAAAAGGTAAGCAAGGATCCACGTCCAGAAGCGTAATACGTGTTCTCGGAGATACAGTTCTTTGCATAAGCACTGTCCCATCCCTCATATTTCTTAGGTGGACGGGGTCGAGTGGTCTAGTAGTTTAACCATTTAGATTTTTTGCTACGGGGATTTGAAGTTGACTGGGGTGAAAATCTCACTTCCGACACAATGATTGCTCTGCAGAAAGACACTTTACACCCCCTATCTCTCCGCTCTACTATCATCAGTATTACCCAAAACTTGAAATGGGTTTTAACATCATACTTTGTTTACATCGACTGGGCTAATGAAGATGGTGGCTACAACCTACTGCCAAGAGTTATTTCATATGCATGTCAACGTGAACACGGAACCTCGGTTTTTCGTCACATCCGAACGACCGACTAGGCACTGTCCTTGTCAGGCCCTCCGGTCCTGCACCACTGACAAGGGGAAACCGCATTGGAAAATCCCTTAGAAACTTCTCGGCCAACACTGGGTTCGAACCCGATACCTTCTGGTAAGCGATCTAGCGTCTCCCATCTATAAAATTGTATAGCTGGTTAAAATTGAAGTCAAGATATAGGTTCTAGGCTCATATAGATGTAGCCATTATTCGAGTCACAGCGTCTCCCATTTATAAAATTATATAAATGGTTAAAATTAAAGTTCTTCGTCTGGAGACAAAGCAAATATATTGATTCTAGCCTTCTATAGTTGCAACCATTATTCGTGGCACGAAATATTGTTTTAAATTTTATGCTATCTCCGTTAACCTCGTCGGGGCAGAAACGCACACTGATACAGTGATCAGAAGTGAATATTCGCTAGGCCGCTACAATCACTGATGACATCGATGCGACTTAATGAACACCAAATATTGACTTTTTTCCTACGACAAATTAAATTCTAAAATATTTTAAACAGGAAGCTAAAACAACCCCTGGCAGCTGGAATTAAAAATGAGAGTAGGCCATTGCGCCGTTGTCCGGGCATATTCTGGCCATTGTTCGTCACACAAATATAATTTATATCTCAGCATACAACATATATATACAACATATTTATTTATAGCACCATATTGTATTTCGAACTAATTTGGGGGCCCCTTAAATAATGTTGGCCGCTGGCTGCAGCCCCGGGTCTTTGAGTAACTGTAAACCCCGTTCACGTTTTGTTAAAGATTTGTTTCCAAACAAGCGGACCTGACTATATACAAAATACGATTCACACCCGTTAATGTCGCTATTTGTTTTATGTTTTCTTGGAAGCCGGGAGGTTACCGCGTGATCGACCCCTACATTGGCCGAGTAAGTTAATCGGGATTTTCCCACATGGTTTTCCCTTGTCAGGACGGAGGGCCTGACAGGGACAGCTAGCTGTTTAGTTGTTCGGATGGGACGAAAAACCGAGGTCCCATATATACAGTGGCGTGCATGTAAAAGATCCCTTGACAGCTGGAATTCGTTTTAAGAGTAGTCCAGAGAGGGAGAAATGGGGTTTAACGTCCACTCGACACAAACCAGGTCATTTAGGGACTAGCATATGGTTCTATTTTATTTCAATAATTCGCTTGCACGTAGACCCTATGGGTCTTTAGAAGTGGGAGGAATCCGGAGGACCCGGAGAAACACCACAAATTTGAACTGTCGACCCAACTCCTTGTCACGTACAACCGGAAATCAAAACCACGCCAGTTGACACAATGACATACCTTGTGATACAGTGCGCACGCGCTAACCATAAAATTAAACCATATGTTAGTCCCGAAATAACCCAGTTTGTGTGTGTGTGTGTGTGTGTGTGTGTGTGCGTTTGTGGATGATCATTATCTAGGACAAACATCAGCATTATTAATTAACCTTCTAAAAGAGGACCTAAATAAGAACATGCCTTCAAATTGAGGACATGGCTGATACGTCATACAGTGTGCTATGAAGAAAATTTTGCCCGGACAGCGGCCTAAGGCCTGCTCATATTTAGGATTTCAAATGGCAACTACGCCAATGTGTATATGATACCTTTTTTGGTACGATACGAGCGACTAGACACAACCCCACCCCCACTCGTCCTGCACAACTGACACAGGGGGAAACTAAACCACAAAATTCAGAGGACCTTTCACGGCTAACACTGGGATCAAACACGGATCTAAGTGCTAGCGAGCAAGTGTCATAGATCCTTACAATCACCAAATAAGTAGGACTACCATGAACCTTTTCACGTGAGATATATTATGAATTACTCTATAATACATTTCTTGTTTCTATTGAGCTGACGTGCCATTAAACAACATTTCATTTCATTTCATTTGTTTCTATTGAGTTGTTTAGCAGACATAACACGTGACAACATGTTGAGACGACTATAGAATACGAATACTCAATGTTTAATAATACAAAGATAATTTCAAATTAATTGCCAACCCTTTCACAATATTTGTAAGAAATATCCCACACGGGGTGTTAATCTGTTTATATACCAATTCAATAAAACATATAATAAGATATGTGTTGAATTTATTCATTAGTTACAATTTATTACGTTGTTCATTTATTTTTTACACTACAATTCAAGAGACACACACGTAGACCTTAACGTGTTTATCAAATACATGTATAAACATATCTTAAACTAGAGTCTTAGTCCGGTGGCTAAAGGCGGGGGGGGGGGGAAATCGCCACCCGAGCTGTGAATTTATGAGACCAAGTTTTTCTAGACCAGTTTATTGCGTAGATTCCGAATCTGGGTGGTGATCAGGCGTTTGAGGGGCGTTTTCGAGATATAGGGGGTCGAATGTCTACAATGGGGGGGGGGGAGATGTCATTATGTTGACGTAATATATTAATAAAACATAAATTTCTAAGACTGCCCATCTATAAATAAGTGTTTATGATGTCCCTGGACAAATGTTTTGAATTGAGGGGAGGTGGGGTGGGGATAGCAGGTGTGTGTGTGGGGGGGGGGGGGAGGGGGTCATTATGTTGACATAATATATTAATAAAACATAAATTTCTAGGACTGCCCATCTATAAATAAAAGTGTTTATGGTGCCCCTGGACAACTATTTTGATTTGTGGGGAGGTGGGGTGGGGGTAGCAGGTGTGCGTGTATGGATGGGGGGGGGGGGTACAATTGGCGGGAAGTGAGTTCACGTTGATGATTTTCTTAGAGCTTGTAGGAAACTGAGGTCTCGTGTACATATTGACTTGCACGTAAAACAAACCTTGACAGTTGGAATTTGAAATACGAGTAGGCCGTAGTGCCGCTATCCGGGCAAAATATCCCTTATAGCACATGACGTATGTCCGCCTTCATTAGCCCAATCGGTGCAGAACAATAGGACATTTAACTCCATTTCATTTCATTTCAATTTTAGCTGTGTTTATATGTGATAAAACCTGTCGTTTACAACATCAACAAGTGCAATATACGTCCACATTCTTGCTTTGATTGATATGGTACTTTTTAAAGTGTAGAGAATGAAATATGAAATGGCTGTAATATGACAAGAATGCAAAAAAAGGCTAGACGTTGTTTTTGTTTAGCCAAATTTTACAGAAAAAAATATTAACAAAAAAGTGGGTGTGACACCGCCCCAGGGGGTCGGGGCATGCACCAAAATAAACAGTTTCTGTCTTTACGGTATAAGGAATAAATATGCAAAGTTCCAAGATGATCCATTCAGAATTGCAGCCTGTAGACGATAAATACAAAAAATTGGGCGTGGCTCTGCCCCGGGGGGGTGGATATGGAACAATAAAAATAGGTACCACCCTGTTATTGAAATGATTGATATGCTGAATTGAAACAAAATATGTTAATTATTTCAACCTGTGTTTACAGATAAAAAGTAACAAAAATGTGGGTGCGATACCACATCCCTGGGGGTCGGGCCATGCACCAAAATAAATAGTTGCTATCCTTACATATCTCCATAAATATGGCGGGCATGCACCAAAAAAATAGGTTAGCCTAAGCGTATAAGGAATAAGTATGAAAAGTTTTCAAGACGATCGATTAAGAATTGCGGCCTGTAAGTGACACACACACAAAAAGAAAATGGGCGTGACTCTGCCCCTGTTGGTTGGGCATTCATCACAAACAATAGGGATGTAGACGACAAACAAACAAATACAAGAAATGGGCGTGGCTCTGTCCCTGGGGGTTGGGCATGCACCAAAAACAATATGGATCATCCTTAGGGTATATGGAATAAATATAAACATTTTTCAAGACGATTGATTAAGAATTGTGGCATGTAGGCGACACACAAAAAGAAAATGGGCGAGGCTCTACGTTATGAAATGCGGCCTGTAGACGACAAACAAATACAAGAAATGGGCGTGGCTCTGCCCCTGGGGGTCGGGCATGTACCAAAACAATAGGGATCATCCTCTGGGTATAAGGAATAAGTATTGCGGCCTGTCGGCGACTCACATACAGAAAACCCTATTGTTATTATAATAACCTGACACCTGTAATACTTACCCCCCCCCCCACCGCCACAACAAGAAAAAGATAACCAGTCCCTGGTCCAAAAATCAAGTAAAACTGGTTCTTTTTATATTAATAATGAAAATTACAAATACAAAAGCTGGAGTACCACATGGATCAGTGTACTGTTAGGCCCCGTTTTCTTTTCAATGTATTCTGTTACATACTCCACGATAAGAGGGTATAAAAAACATAACAGCTGGATACAACAAAATAAGAACTGTGAGTTTCTAGTGTTTGAAAGAAATATTTTTATTATTAATTTGTATATTATACATCTGACATGATCATCATATTAACTCACACGATATATCAGGTAGTTGGTTATATAATATAACAACAGCTGTGTATATAACAGGTTATACAAGAACTAAGAACTTACTGAAATCAAATACATCACAGGAAGTAACAGGTTATAATTATTCATTCAGCACCCAGAGAACTATCTACTCTACTTCCTGTCTGTTATCAAACCGAGCTATTTATAGACAGACAGCGTAAGTTTAGTATGATAATTAATCTGTCTAAATCACGTGATATAGCTTCCGGGTACATCTATATATATATTTTACTTTTCATTTAAATATATTAAAGGAGCTTAACCTCTAACTATTTTTTTATAATATTCGAAATTAAAAACATGAAGTAGAATTCAATATTGGTCCATTTCAATCACTATTGATATTGTTATCTTGCCATAAGAAATATGGGATCTTAATTATAATATCCAATATTTAATACATAATGAACATTTTAAATTAGGTACACGAGTCGTGTACTCTACTCTATGGTTTCTGACTAATTTTGAAATCATTGTATATATACATTCATATTACTTTGATGTGTGCTTTTAGACCCATTTTGTCCTAATTCAAGGTTCAAATGATAAATATCTTACAGACTCTGTGGATAAATATATATATAAAGCTAAAAATATATTTAAAATTTGGATAAAAATGGTTATGTTGTTGATTTCTTCTTAAAGATGTATTATGTAAGATTTAGATAAAAAAAAACCTGGACTTTCTTGATATACCAGTTGATAAATAGATAATATTGAAAATATCATTCAAATTACTTTATTCTGAGCAAAATTATGACTACTTGAAGTTGAATCATTGAGAATTTAATACCGTAGCAGCAGTACTTGACAATCAAGACTAAGTCACGATTATCCAGCCTGGATACCTCAGTTATCATATGATCATGGTGTCCAGCTGAATTACTTATTTTTATAAATTTTTAAATTTTAGGTTGGCTTTCATGTAGGTTGAAAAAGAGATTTTATTCAACATATTACGTAATTAACATCAAGGGTCTTATTCACAAAAATTTAAACTAAAATATTTCAAGAAAGGTGGCTTTTTTATTGGCGAAAAGATCAAATTTGTACTATGATTTCAAATCTCAACCAATGAAATTGTTGCATCCCTCAAATAATTTAGTTTTTGTGAATAAGGTCCAAAATTTTCACAAAATTGAGATATCGAATTTACATTTGTATTCTGGCCCCTAAAAACATAATTTATTAATAACATTTATTTTAGGCAAATGAATGTAATACATAGTCTCTATCATTCAGATTGTTCTGGGTATCCAAGACTATCTAAAACATGGCTGACAATTGTGCCCCTTTAAAATGGCTACTTTAAAATCACTGCATGAAAATAAAACATTAATTCAAAATAATTTTTTTAAAAAAAACCCTAAGTTTTGGAATTACAGTTTATAAAATTTCAATATGATTGATAAAATTTATAAAACTTTTGGTAAATATACAAATAAAATAGGATTTAAAATTGTATTGTATTTATATCAACAGAACAGTGTCTAGTCGTTCGGGATGGGATGAAAGATCCAGGTACCGTTTACACGATGGGCAGCACGTAAACTAAAACAGGATTTACAACTGTCTTTATATAGACCGAACGATGTCTAGTCGTTCCGGATCAGATGAAAGACCTAGGTCCCGTTTACACGATGGGCAGCAAGTAAGCTAAAAGAACCATTAACAGTCAGAAATTGAAATAAAGCGTAGGTCGTAGTGCCACTGTCCAGGTAAAATTCCCCTCATAGCACACTGTACGATGTATGATTGTCTTCATCAGCCCAGTTTTTGCAGGAAATAAGAACTTTTAAACCCCATTTCATTTCATTATATAGAGAATATTGGCTTAACATAGTTTAAGAAAAGAAATTATGATTTTTGTTTACTTTTGTTTACCTTTTAATGATCTATTTGAACCAATTGATTTTAAAACAACACGTTTCCACGATTTGATTAGAAACTCTAAGCTACTAAACAAAAAAAAATGAAAAAGAAAAAAAAATGATATGGAATTCGTTTTTTAATAAATTAAAATATTTGCTATGTGTCGTATTTGGATTATTACTGATATTAGATCTATGATATATTGAATTAATATCCTCTTTATTACAAGTATTTACAATTATACAGAATTTTATCTTATTAACAATTCCACCAAACCTGATAGCATTTTATATTATGTGAGGTTAAAAATGAGAAAACAATTTCTTTCTACAAAAACAAAAAGTTAATTTTTAAAATGGGATATCTCGGACCTTATTCATGAAATCGTGAACTAAAATATCTTAAGGATGAAAGGTTTTCATTGGCTGAGGCTTTAAATCCTAGTACAAATTTAAGCTATTAACCAATGAAAAAGCTGCATTCTTAACATATTTTAGTGAACACGGTCCCGGGAGTATATCACTTTGTACACCTTTCCACAAAAACAATTAAAGTTTATTTTTAAAATGGGATATCAGGAGTATAGGTATTAACAGTTGTCATGCACCAGGCAGTAAGAGCATGATTACAATTTCCAGATCATCTTTAATTCTCTGTAGATCAGGATGTTTAAATAATTATCTTTAGATATCTGGAGGCTGAAGTACATCACTTTCTAAAGACAGGTATCATGCACTAGGCAGCTAGATCCTGGTGTATATAACTTTCTACAGACAGACATCATGCACAAGGCAGCTAGATCCTGGTGTATATAACTTTCTACAGACAGGCATCATGCACTAGGCAGCTAGATCCTGGTGTATATGACTTTCTACAGACAGGCATCATGCACAAGGCAGCTAGATCCTGGTGTATATTGGAGAAATCTGATACCATCTAGAGTTGATTAAGGCCTGGATCAGTTAATTAATGTCTAATTAATACTTTAGAAAACATTTCAGACCTAAACAAAGACCTACAATAGGCAGATTTAGCTCTTGCATAATCCTATCTGTGGCTCAGTGGGTAAGATGCTAGCTTGTTAACTCCCCCTTGTCAGTGTTGCATCTTAAGGATTGTTGGGGGTTTTCAGGAACTAAAAGATTGTTTTTGTGGATAAAACTGCGATTCTACTCACCTTAGCAATTTGTGTACACCAATTCAACAAAACTTTCGATCCAATGTGATCTTTGTTTTTTCGCACGTAATCCAGAAGACATCCGAGAGGCATGAGCTGCGTTATTAACATCATTTGTGCCGTCATACAGACTGCCAATATCCTGACACAATACTGATGTTCTACTGACGACATGACACGAGCCTCTTCCAACAATTCTTTATTCTGATTGGGTGAGGTTCCTTCCTGTAAAACTTTTATAGCCACAGGAATTTTAACATTTTCACCTTCTGGAATCCAAAATCCTTAGAAAAAAAAAAAGCAGCGAAAAACAAATAATTATAAAATATATTTTCTCTAGTATGTTTGCAATTGTTACATGACTAGAATGGAATTTGACATCGTGTCATCACAATACTTTGGTTATTTTGAGACTAACATATGGTTAATGTATCATCAACACTATATACCTCTGGTTATTTTGAGACTAACATATGGTTAATGTCTCATCAACACACTACCTTTGGTTATTGTGAGACTAACATATGGTTAATGTATCATCAACACAATACTTTTGGTTATTTTGAGACTAACATATAGTAATTGTAATTCTTATGGTCATGTATACAATAGAAGGGGTAGAATTTTGCCCAAACAGTGGAATTTTTATCTACACCTTTTCAAATTCCAACTGTCGCAGTTAATGTATATATTTTTTGGAAAGATCTTGAATTCCTTTATTCAGTGGTATAAAATATCTAACATTTTTTGTCATTTTTACTTATAGGTCATGACCTGCAAAATGGCCTCCTGGAAAATCTGACAGTTAAAGGAATAATTACTTACTTTATAGACAGTACCAAATGCTCCAGAGCCAATAATACCTCCACGTCGTAAATCGTATTCCTTTATCAATTTTAACTGAGCAAGGTCAGGTTTAGCTGTCGTAGGTGTAAGAGGCTGAATAAAAAATGTTAGAAAAATATGAAGTGGCCCTAAACAAACTTGAATTTATTACAAAAATTTAATTCTTTTAAAATCAGTAACTACTACAGTAAATTGTTTATCTACCGTTTTCATCAGCCCAGTTGGTTCAGAAAAGTAGGATGTTAAACCCCATTTCATTTCTCAAAATCAACACAGTGACAAATGTTTAGAGAACAGATAATTTGATTAAATGGAGTTTTTCCCTTCAGCTATGTGTTAATTCTAATGGTCACATTTGATCAAATCTACAAAGAGTTATATAACACAAGGATGTATGATCACTGTTTTTCTTTTTTTAATTTAATTCATATATAAAACATAGGTTGCCAAGCAACGCTCATACAGATGGAGGCGACGGCAATATACGACCACAATGCGGCTGTATAAAAAACATTAACATAATCCAGTTATTCATATGTTTTAAGTATGATCAAATAAATGAAATGATACGGAGTTTAATGTCCTTATCTTCTGCCCTGGGATAATGAAGATGGACATGTGTGCAGTGTGCTATGAGGGAAAGTCCTCCTGGATAACGGTCTACTCTTATTTCGAACTCCGACTGTCAAGGGTTCTTTTAGGTGCATGCCAATTGGTGTACATCATCAAATAAATACTCACCACTTCCTCATCCCAGCCAGTCATCTTGGCCGTAAGTTTTGCCGTTTTTTTCTTGGCTTTAGCTCGTTTTTGACAGCACCAAGCTATACAAGCGATCAAAACAGCTACAATCAGTACACTGGCTACAGATGGAGCAACAATTATAGCCATTTTCTTCTTTTCATCTCTACATTAAAAAAAAATATATCAATTTATTTTATTGAGAGAGAAAATAAAAAATACAATCAACTAAAACAATAGACCATCAAAAATTTAAATCGTCGGTGGGGATGCAAATTGAGTATTTTCTATGTTTTTTTTATAAAGACACATTACCTAATAACTAGATTGATAACTTGGTATTTCTCACTAACACTATAAACCTCAGAATGCCTCGTTCGGCATTTCTGTCCAAACGAGGCAAAAACGTGTCAAAATTTTTGCCCCGATTTTGCCTCGTTGTAACGAGGTAAAAAAAATACCTCGTTTCTCTGGAGTTCCAAAACGTGTTTTTTTTTAAATTGCCCTGTTTTTGGAATGAGGTATTTTGTTCAGAACGAGGCTGGGTAAAATTGCCTCGTTTACTAAACGAGGTATTTTATCCAAGATAATTATTAGCGGTATTTGCTGTCAACAAATAGAGCCATACAAATAATGTTCGGACCATCATGTGACCAATTGCAGATCTACAAATTAGATTATTTATTTGGGACATGATATTGTTCATAGTTATGGCTTACTACACTGGAGTTCTATTATGTATAAAATTGTAATAAATGTTTTACATGAATGAATAAAATCTACAATTTAAAACAGTACAATAACATTGTGATTTGACGCTCTACAAATCACTAAGAGTATAACAATTGCTTGTTGAAAAAGTGTTAATAATATGTTTTTTTCCAATGCAGCAAAACCTACTGGACTGTTGTACTTAACTTATTATTTTTTAAAAATATATTCAAAAAGAATGCGTCTTTTACAGATTTCAATATAACCACAAATGGTTGATTGTTTTAATGCTAAGATAAGTATTAATGGTTTGTATTTGAAAATCAAATTATATAAGCGAAAAATAGTAAGATACATTATGTATATCTTAAAACACGCCCTTCTCTGTTACTACTTCGGCGAATATCATTTGATAATTTAGATGATCAGAATTAAACACCGTTTTGCTATGTTATTATTTTTTTATGATTGGGTGGGGGTATACTTAATTAGGGGATTGGATTGAAAGATTATAGCTACCATCTTATGGAGACATAATGTGTGGTGCATTTACGGTCTTATAAAGCTCTATTCTTACATAAAGAATTCTTGATTCGCACGGAATTGTTTTAGCCGTGATCATTTTAAGTCATGCTTATGCCAAGATCTGGGTAAGTGTTAATTCAACTAGATATCAGAAAAGTACCACGTTTTCATAAATGTACTCTTTAGATAAATTGTACAATATTTATCAGTTCACTAGTTACAATAAAATCATGCATTATAGCTATTTTTATTTATTTATCCCTGGTGCTTCAAATTCAATTTAGGGTGCTACAACATATTTAAAAATATGTTTTAAAGCTTTAGGTCATTTTATTATATCTTTCTACCATAAATAATAGCCCGAATTTAGGTATACCAAAAGTTAAAGAAATATAAACAGTTTTTGAGTCATTCAGATATGACTGCCAAAATTGTCACCAACACACGTCGTGTTTAGGCTAAAATCTAACCAGAAAAGTATTGTCAATACATAATAAAATTTATATTCCATTAATCAATTCCATTCCGCAATTGGTTTGTCTTAAACTCGTCATTTGTGTTCATGGGCATCAGGGTCGAGATGGCAACGTTATATGTTTTATTCGTCTAATTTACTATAAAACATCATTCGGTTTGCCTCACGGGTTAACGGCATATTAATATTTGCGTGTTGACCTTTAACATCACACTTAGATCCTGTACGCTTTGTGTCTTACAGTCAATACATGTCATGAAGAACTCTTTAGACATAATTTCTTTTATAATACTTTACTCGTTTCTATTGAGTTGTTTAGCAGAAGTAACCCATGACAACAATATGTTGAGACGACTACGTAACAGAATAGGACGATTCAATGTTATTAAAATGACACAATGACAATTTTAATTTTATTACCAACCCTTTCACAATATTTGAATGAAATATCTCACACGGGGTGTTAATCTGTTTTCAGTTTCTATTCCAATTCAATAAAACATTTTAAACATTTAATACATGTCTTGGCTTGATTCATTATTTACAATTTAATACGTTAATCGTGTATTTTAAATAATACAGTTCAAGAGATCAAAACATTTCCGAATTTATACATTCAACATTACACGTAGACCTAAATGTATTTTTCAAATACGTGTATAAACATTTATATGAAATATATTATAAACAGATATGCTATGACCAGAGTTGCCATTATCTTTATTATTCGACTGGAAAACTCCTGTCATTCACTCTGTCGTTCGACTGATCCATCATTCACGTTGTCATTTCCGAGTCTGAAATTTGGGGTATAGGGGTAGCTCGGACTGGGGAGTAACATAGGCCAGGTGGCGTTAGTCTACCACTTCCGGTTTCGGAGTTATGACCCCCGAGCGAAGCCGGGCATTCTTCTAGTATATAAATAAATATATAAATAAATCATCTTCATGGTCATCATCATCGTCATCATCACTATTTAACACCAATCATCGTCGCCTGACAATTACCTTATCTATTCAAAGCGCTTGTTTAGTTTTAAATACTTGTGAACTTTACTAAAACTCACTTTGTTGAACAGGTTACTTTCGTTGGTATCGCCATATAGGAACGCTTTTGTATTTATGGATTTAAATGGGAGGGTATTTAATGTTGAGATACGCTGAGACGAATAATTTGGGCAGTGTAGAAAATAATGGTTGCTGTCTTCTTGCGTATGACCACAACTGCATGTCGGATTATGTGAAATATGCATTAAAAATCTATGGAAGTTTAGAGCACTTTTACAATTACGAAGTCTGGAATGTATAATCTGAAATTTACGTTCTCCATAGTAACATCTTACTGACATCAATAAATACAAAAATATGACTAAGTCGAAAGTCGACAAGACGGTATACAAGCCAAAATGCAAGTCGAAAATAAGAAATTAGGAAAAAAAACGAGGGGCGCTATTATCGCAGTGTATTATTTCTTGATTTCCTATTTTCGAGTCGATTTTGGCTTGTATAGCGTTGCTGTCACCTCACATTTGGTCGTAACTGCTACTTTTCGACTTTCGTGTTTTGGAGGGCGAAAAGTAGAAATTAAGAATGGTAGGCTTCTATAGTTAGGCGTTTGTATATATGACTGTATACTTGACACATGTACGACCTGAATGGCTGAATGGCCGGTAACCAAATATGTTATTGTGAGTGTTAAACGACATCGTAATTATTTTATATTTTGCAAAAAAAACAAACAACAAAAAACAAAACAAAAAAACACAAGCCGTGATTGCCATTACTACAATACGGATTACTAAATATACTTTGTGTTCAATTTTATATTTTAATACTGAAGACAGGGCCGGATTATAAATGAACAAGGCGGATCCTTTTGGCTTATATTGAGTAATTATTGCAACGTGTTACAGTTGAAAGTTCCAAAGCATTTTCACATTCCATATCCGATAAATTTAATCATCATGCAACTACTGATTGGTGGGTCGTCGAAACATTTAGATGCATACATCACAGCACCGTGGTTTAGACTAGTTTTATTGTTGTACACATAATGAAAGAAACTGTGTTATTTCACAGCTGAATTCTATGGTAAGAACCGTAGAACCACCTTGTAGGGAATAACTTTTAAACTTTAACACCCTATACACACTCTGCCAGCGGCATCTTTGACCCACACTCACTTAACCTTAATCCAAACTTTAAATCTTTCAACGGTTTAACAAGAAGGTGCTAAATATTTCCATTTAAATAAATACAAAAAGCAATTCGAAAAATAAACTATAAGTAAAGGAACCATCTCAGTGAATAAAGCTATTAATATGCCGTTAACCCGTGAGGCAAACCGAATGATGTTTTATAGTAAATTAGACGAATAAAACATATAACGTTGCCATCTCGACCCTGATGCCCATGAACACAAATGACGAGTTTAGGACAAACCAATGGCGGAATGGAATTGATTAATGGAATAAAATATTTATTATGTATGGACACTAAGTTTTATGGTTAGACTTTAGCCTAAAAAAACATGTGCGCTGATTTCAATTTTGGCAGTCATATCTGAATGGCTCAAAAACTGGTTATATTTCTTTAACTTTTGGTATACTTAAATTCGGGCTATTATTTAATATATATATTGATCAACAGCGGCGATAAAAATCATTAGTCTCGACAATGACTAGTTGTCAGTGAAAGTCTCTCAGGGGAGCCAGGCGGCTCTGTGAATAAAGAGCTGGCTTGAACGCCTCGTGTTCATTAGCCTGAATAGTGAAGGAATGCGGGTCATTAAACCCCAATTTCATTTCATTAATCTCTCGGCTCAATAATGAGCTACTCGGGTTGGTTAGATCCACGCCTTAATGCATATACAACCAATAGAGAAATAGCTCAAATATGGCGACAATGATCAACTTGCTCTTCTTCTACTAAATTAAAGATTCGTGTGGAGATTCTGTCGATATAATCATATATTTATATCTGCTCTTTCTTAAAATGGAGACGGTTAGTAAAATGGTCTTCTTTACGTTCCTAAATATCAGTATGACCTTAGTGAATACCGCACGATTACGATCCGTTCCAGACTGATAACTTTACGTTCCTGAATATCAGTCTGACAGAAGTGAATACCGTACGATTACGATCCGTTCCATACTGATACCTTAGGCCGTGTTGAATTGATTCCTTGTTTCTCCTCGCTCGCGCGCTTAGGTCGAGGACCCCGAAAATCGTGCGCTTACGTTTTTAACACAAAAAAAAATATTCAAAAAATTACGTTAATAACATCTAAATAAAATTCTACCAAACATCAGAAGTCAATTCTCGTTGTTTATTCCTCGTTACGAACTAAATAAGTAAGTGCAGGGGGCCGCACTACACGCAAAACAAAAATCTACAAGATAAACCTGCGGACAAGACAGAAAATAGGCATTGCACCGAATAAACAAATATCAAATC